AAAAAAAAAAAAAAAAAAAAGAGATGGCGTAGAAAGGAGTGACATTCAAATGTCTTGAGAAGCCATTTTTGTTAAATGTTTCCATATTCCTAGACTGAACCTTAGTGTTATCCCTGTGTTCCTAAGAAAGAGTCCATTGTTGTATAAGCATCCACAGCTCTTCTCTTTGTTGTCCATTTAATGAAAACAGCATCACCCTTTTATAGTGCAAACTCAGCCCCTATATACTTAGACTTAAAAGAACATTATTGTCACTTTGAATGTACGCTAATTGGCATATATTAAAATGAAATTTCATTGCATACAGCTCTCAAAAGGTCACCACCTCCAAAATACACTACATAAACATGACAAAATAAATATAAAATTATGCATACACACATGCCCACATATATGGCACCTGCATGTGTGATAGCACAAAGCACATACACCAGGGGTGGGTGTTGTTATTTTAATAGAGCAATGCTGCCAATTCCATCAGAGTGATTGATTGGAAAACACCATCAACTTCCTAACCCACAAACAATTTTATGTGGGAATGTTTTAAAGACCTTCCTCTATAAGGAGAGAAACAACAGTGCAGACTGGATGCAACTGGTGAAAGGCCTTATTGTAAAGTGGCAACAATGTAAAACTAGCGTTTGCTCTCTTTAATTACAAAATCATAAAGAATGATGGTCAGATTTAAACCAACAAAAGAAGTTAGATTTGCATCACTTCGATTTAAATCAGACTGTGCTGGATGACTCCATCTAAGGTATGTGTCACCCAGAAATAAATATGTTTTTTGTTTCAGATGAGCATTTGCAGTATAAGCCTGTATACAAGACCAAAGGAATACTTATGGAATGTTCCTTAGCAAGTAAATTTTAGATTCCAGTCTTAAATTATCTAGTTAATAATAACAAAATCCATAAGATTATTATTTATTTGGATTATAACTACATAATTTTGTAGTCAGAATGAAGTTTGAAGAAAGACTAGTAAGATCTTAAGAAGATGATGCTGTTAGCTATATTAATAAGCACAGCCCTGTACATATTTAGCCCATTGCCTGAGCATTGCTTTCAAATAAAGGGGTCTAGGACCATGCTGGAAGTATCCCAGTTTATATGTAAGACACATTATTTAATCTGGCTATATAAGTGTTCCAGGATGACTTCATTAGAGTTATTCCATTACCTCAGGATTTCCCTACATTGGCAATTTTAAGACACATTAACTTCAATTCCCATGCTGGCTGGGGAATCCTGGGAATTGAAGTCCATGTGTCTTAAAGTTGGAAACTCAGCATTATCTGAATTTGTACTTGGAAAGTATTTGCATGCCCCCCTCTATTTGCAATATAGGTAATACTGCCATAGGATCATACATTGATAGATGTGAATATGTACACTTCAATTATACGCTACAATTTTCCTTTTTCAAATTTGAAAACAAATTATAGTAAATAATGACAATGTTTACTGATATATTTCTACTATTCTCAAAATTGGCTGGTCTAGTCATAGTTATATGTATATCGAAAACATAAGGCTTTGTTCAAATTATACTTTGCGACCCTCTTAAGCTGTTGTATGACTTTAAATAAATGACATTTTCAAAATATTCAATCAGATATCCTACAGCCATTATGTTGTTTAATCCAAGACTTTAAGTTACAGGAATAAATTACATATAATCAGAGTACACCTGCTGTTAGTGATTTCAAAATAATAATCATATCTGCCAACACCGTTACCTTGGACTCTCTGTAGATTAGTCCACATTGTGTTACCCCGCCATTCTCCAATATGAAGCTCTCTAGATATAGCAGTCTTTAATTCCCATAATCCCCAGCCAAAGGTAGAGATGGTAGTCCTTCTACTTTGACTATAACTATTGAGGCATAATATTATTTGCCTTTGACTTAGTGAAGGCATTACAGCATAACATTGTATGTGAATACCATCAGCAGTAATTCTATAATCACTAGGTATTTAGTGGTAATTAGTTAAGCCTGCTGTAGCGCAGGAATTATGCTAGGAAGAATCTAGTAGTAAGTAGTTGAAAGAAATCATAGATGAAAATCCAGAAAAAACGATTAACTCCCCTAATCTAAAAGTTGCACAAGAACTGATGGTATTTCAATAATCCAGGAAAGAGGAAATTGGTTTACGGATTTTTTCCCTTCATTTTCAAAAACCAAAAATGAATAAATGTCAGTGGTTGTTTGCGATTTGTTATAGATATTACCTGATTGGCTGTATAGGGAAAACCTCCAAATGGTCCTCTCCAAAAAATGGTGTCTTCCGTTTTCCATGATTTTATGTATTGGGACATTAGTCCAGTTTTATAGCACTTGCAAAAGAACCAAGAATCAAAGAAAGCAAATTTAAAAAAAAGATAAGAGTGGGAATACAAACTTCCAGTAATTCACATCTTCTCAATTAAAACATGTGACTTTTTTAAAAAAGCATTTGGGTACACATGAATATGGGGAGAAATTAAATCAGGGTGATACTTAAATCTAGCATTTGTGTGCAATGCTTCATTACATTAGATTTAAATTAAACATTGTCTTTTGCTTTTAATCCTAATTGTGCACAAAAACTACGGAAGTATTCTTAAACTTGCTCAAACTACAAACAATTTGCAAGCAAGATTTTTTATTTACTAGATATACTAATTGGCAGCAGCTGCAAGTAACCATTCATCTTCTGTGTATTTATAGAAACAAGAGAACATTCTGAGAAGTAAAATTCCAGTTGTGTTATTTTGCCTTGTTTGAGTCTTCTTTCAGTTATGAATTTTGAATAGAAATGGATCTGTGACATACAAAAATTTGTTCACAATTGAAACCCTCAAATATTCATAAGTAACACTGGTAGGAAACATTTTCATACATAACAAAAGAAATGGGATAATGAAAACTAAGACTGCCAATTTATACTGGTATTGTGCCTAAGTTTTGGACAAATAACATTCAATGGGAATCTAGCAAAATAAAAGAATTTTGTGTAGCACCTTGAAAATTACAATATTTATTATAGTGTAACTCACTGTACATGTTACAGATTCCTCTTCCTTGAATTTGCATTGTTTTTACCCAACAATTAAAATAAATGATTTCTTCTCATTTATCTACAGCAATTTCTACTGTTACATTTTGCATGTAGTATTAGACTGCCTTTAGTGTAGAAAATGTGCCATGTTAAAAAATGTTGGCAAGTCTAGCCACAGTGAAGAAAATGGAGATATTAAATTAAAGGGATGGAGAGTCAAGACTTCAGCTGCTATGTATCTCATATAATGGAATATTGGTTTCAAGAGAGAAAATGTATTAAGAATAGATTTTTTTCTTCATTCCAATGCAGAAACAATCAGACCGGTTTATAATAAATTCTTTTATATAACAGAAGAAAAAATCCTACAGAGAAAAACTCTATATCAGGTTTTGCTACTCCCCACCCCTGCAAAAAATCATATTATTAAAGAATCATTCAGAAATAAGGATAAGCATAGAAAATCACCACTCATGCACACTTAACTGTCCTGTAGTGCTGTAATCATGGAACACAGAGGCTTTGAATAGCACTTGGGATAGTACTACTAGTTGTAAAAGCAGTAATAGTATTACTACAATTAATAATACACTACTTCCCAAAATTGTCTGGATTGAGAAAGACACAACAATCTACACCAAGCTATACAAATGCTGGGTGTTTCCATCTCTTTTGTTAGAGCATAATAATGGTTTCATTTGGGTTGAATAGATTCTATAGGAAAGGAAAGTATTATTACAATTGTTATTACTATTATTGCAATACAAAAAAATCTATGTAATAAGCGAGCAGAGTCAACCTATAAAGATAATGTATTAATGCAGATTAAATATAGTAAAACATGTCACAATAACTGAGTTAGAAGGAACCTTGGAGGTCTTCTAATTGAACCCCCTATACCATTTCAGAGAAGTCATCATCCAATCTCTCCTAAAAAGCCTCCAATGATGGAGCACCCACAACTTCTGACATTCCCGTGATTAACTGTTCTAACTATAAAGACATTTCTTCTTATTTCTAGGTCAGATATCTCCTTGATTAGTTTCCATCCATTGCTTCTTGTTCTGTCTTCAGGTGAATAGGTTGATCCTCTCTTCTTTGTGGTAGCCCTTTAAATATTAGAACACTGCTATCATGCCACCCCTAGTCCTTCTTTTCATGAAATTAGACAAGGGGTGTCAAACTCGATTTCATTGAGGGCCACGTCAGGGTTGTGTTTGACCTCGGGGTGACCAGGGTGGGTGTGGCCAGCTCGATGTCACTTATGTTGGGGGCAACATTGATACCAGAAAAACTAGCACACAATTTATGGTTTACACTCCTAGTGATAAGCAGAAGGGAACCTGGTGGCTCATTGTGATTTGCTTCAAGGATCTGCTACAACAAAAACTGTTTTCCACTAAGGTGTTCATACCTTGGTTTCTAACAATCTTTTTTAAGTTTCAGGAATACGTTTCACTTCAGTAACAGAGGGCATCCTAAAACAAATCAGCTCCGTTTCTCCATGCTTTGTCCTGCTGCCTAGGTTGAGTAGGGCTTGGTATGGGGCAACAGGAATACCAACAAATCAAAACTTTAATGGCAGGCCCCCAGTTCTAAAAGCCATAGCTGAGCACTCTTGTGGCATAAAAGTTGACCACTGCTGTGTCAAACTGTTAATTTATAGAACAAAGGCACCTATTTACCTTTATTAAAACTTCAAAGAACCCTTCAGCATTCACAGGCGTAATTGGAGTATAAGCTCTCTGAACCTCCAGACCGTTCACTACTCCTCTGAAGGAGAGAAAAATGAGAAAAGGAGCGAAGATCAAGGGATGGAATCTTGATTTCAATCTCCAACAATACTTGTAAGTCCTGTATGATTCTCGCAACAAAGGCTGTTGCCTGAAAAGCACTGCAGGAATCCTTCCTCATCTCCATGGGTTATCTTCTGCCAGCCAAACAACAGATTATTCCTTCCCATTTTGCAGTAAGATCGCAGAGATCCAAGTATTGAAATAACCTCAGGTTTTTTCTCTCCAGCACAGCCATATTACCTCCTTAACAATTCTTCATTTTTCCTAAAGCCAGACACGGTATTTTATGTTGTACTGCTCTGCTGCTATAAAGCAAGAAAAGAACGACACTGGGGAAGCTGAGGATTATTAATAGTTTGCAGCAGAAAAGGGTTTTTATCTTGACACCATTGTTAAAAGAATATGTGTAGAAATAAAAGTTAACAAGTGATACCTGCTATGCTTAACAGCCTGGTGTTTTTCAAATGAAATTTATTTATATATTGTATTTATAAACCAGCCAATTCTGGACAACTTTGGGCAGTAAATAATTATAAAAACCAAGTATAAAAACAATTGATCGGTAGAAACACAATGGTTAACCTGAGGGGAATAAACCACAATCAATCTCTCACCTAGCAAAGGAGCCCTCCAGTCCCCTGGCACAAGTCCTGCGATACAGCTAGATTTTCAAGGCTCATTTGAAGAAAAGCTGCTACAGAGGGCAGGAGCTATTACAGAAAAAGCATGCTTCTGGGATTACATCAGGACACATTCTCAGCAGATAGCACATAGAGCATGACAACTCCGTCTGAATAGACAGGATGGGCAGAAACCATGGGAAACAAGCAGTCCCTCAAATAATGAGGCCTAAGCCATGAAGCTCTTTATAGATAATAGCTAGCACCTTGAATTCTATCCAGAAGCTTGCTGGCAATTACTGTCATGCACTCCAAAAAGCAGAAGTATTACATGGACATTCTATGGTATGCCCATAACTGCCTGTACTGCAACATTTGGACAGTTAAGTGATATTCAGAGACAATTCACTCTAGAGTGCATTGCAATAATCCATACCCAAGATGAGTAAGTCATGTGACCATGAATCTCCTGATCCAGAAAGAAGCATAACTGGCACATCAAATAGATCTATACAAAGGTCCTCCTGTCCATGGCTGTCATCTACTACTCAAGTAGGAGCTGAGAGTCCATGATAATCTTTAGATCACACGTGTCCTGAATGCTATCACATCCAAAACTAAGAGTGATATTTCCCAATTCCAAGCGGACCCAACTCCTACAGCTACTTAACTCTTGCAGATGGAGCCCGAGTCTCTCCACAGAGACAGTTATGACCTCCAGGTACTGGGACAAGCATCACTTGTTTGGCCTTGGATTGAGATATAGAATTGAGCAGCATCTGCAAACTTCTTGACTCCAAACAGGCAGATGATTGTAGGCACCAGCCTCATGTAGGCATTAAGCAAGAGGAGTGAGAACACTGAGCTTTGCGACAGCCCATAAACCTGGGCTTCATACTTAATTTATCCCTCCTATCAACCTTCACTGGAATCAGCCACAAAGAAAGGAGGAAAGCCTGTTACAATACTTACATTTCCAACAGATTGAATTAGAAAGTTATAATGATTTATAGTATTAAAAGCTGCTAAGAGATCAAGAGGTATCAGGTCATTTGTACACCCTCCCCCTGTGTTTTCAAATTCATCAAGAAGCATAATTAGTGCCATCTCTGTGCACCACTGATCTTTTCCTGTTCAAGTGACAAAGATATCCCAAATTATGTTTGCCAGAACAATCCTTGAATAGAAACAATTGGTTCAAGGTGATTGGTGCTATGAATTTTTCTTGAAATATTTTTCTCCCTGAAACTGTGTGTTCCAAATGTCTATGGAGATTCTCAGTCATCCAGATCATGGTTGTCTCAAAGGTGCTTTTTCAAGAGGCAACTGGACTTCCTGGTTTTTCTTAGAAGACGTTTCGCTTCTCATCCAAGAAGCTTCTTAACTCTGACTAGATGGTGGGGAACGTTTTTTCTAAACATACTTTTAAGCTTAGACACCTCTATTTAGTTAGATTTGAATGTGATTTCAAGTTAAGTGTTTGTGCCTCAATACAAATTGATTGAGCATAAAAATTGCATGTGGGCTCCACTTTCTACTTGTGCTCCATTCTCAGAACAGCATTAACAAAACTAGGAAAGTAATAAACAAAAAATGTACCTCAAAGAGGTTTTGAGAAACTTTGTCATAATTCCAGGCCACGAATCCCTGAGCTGCATCAGACTCTATGCCATCTGGGAGAAGACCGAGATTCTCAAGAATTATCAGCCTTGGTGAATCTACCACTAAACCTAGCAACAGAATCAAGCAGCTGAGGCAGGAATGATGCTGTGTAGCTGGGAGGTTGATAAAACCGCAACAAATGCAAAGACTCTTTAGAACCAAATTTTAACTATGAGCTTTGGCTCCTGAGTTATGGAATCTTACAAGGCCCCTCGGATGGCAACTGCCATATTTCTCTCTGCCAAGAGATCATGCTTGATGCCAAACATGACACTTGGATGGCATATCTCCAAGAGTGGAATGCCCCTCCTCTGAAAACATCCAGTCTCAATAAAACATGGCAGGTCAGCTGCCTCTTCCATTATCAAATTATGGATAAGAGGTTCTTATATGGGCAGATAGGAATTTAAGAGCAACAGCCAGAGACCAGGGTCAACAAGGATTTAGTAGCTTAGCATCTATAGTGAATATTAATGGCCAGAAGGTGGGATTGATCTCAACCACTGATAGTACCTTTCCTGTATGTGGCCCACCTCTGGATTATTGCCTTGTCTTTCTCTGCCCATCACCACCCTAAAGGTATTTCATGCCCTTACTTCTTCCTCTGTCCAAGCCTGACCCTGATCCTTCTCCTGCTTCCTCTGCCAAGGGACTCATCCAACTATCACTCACTCTTTATCAGCCTTATAAGGTAGATCTGACTAAGAAATGCATGCCATATAGGTCAGAACCATGCCATTAACAAGACTGACAAGACATTGTCACAGTCAGTTGAAGCCACCAGTTCTGGCATCTGGTGGTTTTATACAGTAGGCTTCTTTGTGTTAGCCTTCATTCTGGTCCTTGCTGCAGCTCTTCCACCAGCATTTTCCATCGCCACTGATATTTTCTGGGGCTATTCCTTGATTAATTAGGAATACACACACAAAATACTTTAATCAAACCTTTGTCATTAATGTTCTTGAATGCTTTTAATAATCCCAAGGGCTGATATATTGAATGCCAGAACTGAGGAATTTTGGAAATAGAAAATCTTGGACAATTTGCTTCTTGATAGCATAGGAATATTCATTTATCTAGATTTATTATCACATATGCCAGATAACTGTAACTATGTGATACAAAATAAGCAGATGGTTAAGATATGTCTAACATCTTTGCAAGATACAGCTTTCATTATTAAGCCTGGTAGGTAAGTAGGTAGATAGGTAGGTATATATGTATTTGCTTTTATTTTCTAGTTGTATCCCCTTATGTTATTTTTCCAAAATGTTAATATTGAATAACGGCTTTAGAAATAGCCTCAAATAGCAAAATTTGTCTTGCAGACTATAACTTCTGTGATACAAATGATGATTTAATCATGAAAGCCAGAGATTTTGTCCTGAGGTTGATGATACTCATTTATAGAAATGGCTCTAAGTGCAGCCATTTCAAAAACTAGAAGGTGACTTGTCACAGCATCTTTTTGTCAACTTCCATTATCTGTCAAGTGCAAATCAATAACTGACAGCTGTGGAGTTCAATACAATCCATATTATTATCATTATTAAGTTATGTGAAACAGCTAGTTATCAGAAAAATTGTATAATCTTAGTGCAACTGCTTCCTAATATCAGGTTCATTTATACGACTATTTTAATGGCTCACAGATCATTCAGATAATCAGTATGATAAAATGCACAATGGACAACTATCTAACAATATGTCCATAGGGCAAGTCCTGCTAGTTACTTTAACTAATAATTAGTCTACCCAATTGTTGGGAAGATGAAAGTTCCTATAATTCTTTGGAATTTCTTGGGGAAATGACAGAATACAATTATAATAAATACAAAGAGATAGTTTTATACTACGTTTTATTTATCTACCTGATAGTAAAACAAGATTACATTGTCCTTGTGAATCAATTCACTATAATTCTATACTCTTTTTTCCTAAAAAGTGGTTTTCATACACACATTTAATTCTACCTCCAATAATAATGCAATTGAAAGAAAATGTGACTATAGGGTAGCATATACAATTAACAAGATTAATAAAATCAATGAATTCACACATTCTTTCAAAAGAATAACTTTGAGAGTGTGGTAATTATAATGTACTCAGTATGAAATTTTTACAGATCAAGAGCAAAATTGAAAAACAAATTGCACACTACAGATAGTTTTGCTATAGATTTTGTACAGTACCTTAGCACAATATGTTGTCCCAATCTCAACCCCAAGCTGCTGTTTCCAGGCAATTTAAAAGTGTACTGGTAGGTGTCCTTGGTCAATTGAGTCACAGAGCTTATGGTGAAAGCCATAAACATTTCTGGATTTAGGTCTGAATTGCTACTCTGCAAGAACAACAATAAATAATTACTATTTTAAACAATACCCTCCAAACTGTGGCACTACAAACAAAAATAAGTTTTTAAAACCAAATACACTCATTATCTAATTCAATAGGTTACTCTTTTTGAATCCCATTTAAATTCCAACACCTGTTTATTCACATAATTCTGAATTTGGCAATGGCTTTCTTGCTCATGAGGAACGAAACCTAAAGACTATGTGATTAGTAAAAGCAAAATACCTCAATTGCATAGCAATAGGAAATATGGTAGAACACAGAATATGTAGACATTTTTCTGTCTTGCCTTTTCTTACACCATTTATTTCAAAAGCAATTCCTTATTTTACACCAGACTTTCTTTGGCAGAACCACAAATGCTCTCAATAATTCCTGGACATCAGGCAAAACTATGTGTAAAGATCTAGTAAAAAAGTTCATTTTCTACATTTCAGTCTCACACAGACCTACCTCCATCCTCAAAAAAAAAAAAAAAAAAGCACCTCCTTTTCATATTTTTGATGTTATTTACCATGGGTTTAATCTTTTTGAGAGCATGAAAGCCACTGTATTCTTTTTGAATTTTTTAAAACTTTAGAACTAAACATTTTGAACAAGAAAGTAATAAACTATCTGTATGTTCTACATTGAGGGCAGAGAGAAATGGCTTCCAGGCTAAAATCTTAATCAGCTCACTGCAAATAATGAAAAAGCCCTAATCCTGACATTTTTATTCGCCAACCCTCATGTTCTCCTGATTTCCCCATTAGTGTACATTCCCTCTGGTTTTACAAGCTCATGAAACAATCTGTGCACTGTTTACTCACAAGTAAGTTCCAAGAACTTCAAGTAAATCTGTTTAAGCCTGCTGCTGTTCAGGTAGTCCCCGATTTATGGCAAGCTGCTTAACAACTATTAACAACTATTTGAAGTTACAACAGACCTCCTTGGGCTACTTATATAACCCAGATTTGAAATTCTGATGGGGCCCCTCCCCACCCATCCCCATTGTCATGTTATTGCATTTTGGACATTCAGCAACCAGTCCACATGTATACTGTTTGCAACATCTAACAATCAATTTCTGGCCAAAAAATAATAATGCCCATCATGAGTTTAATCATTGTGGCATTTGCTTAACAGTCACAGTGATTCACTTAACGACTGCTGCAAAAAAGACCATAAAATCAGGCATGGTAATGTGGTGACCCACATAATGACCAGCATGATGGTAATTCTGTGCTCAATTAAGGTGATAAATCAAGGACCACCTGTACAACACCATCCTGCGGGTAGTTGATATTTCCACTGAGGTCTAGGCTATAGCAGAATAGAAATCTCATTTGCAATACCTTCTCTAGCATTCCTCTAATATTTATTAGGTGTAATACTATAATATCATATTTATTTATCTTTATAAATATGGTATGACTTAAATACTGATTTATTAAATATAATATTAATAATACAATAAGAAAACACCTCTGCATTCTCTACAGTTCTGGAAAATTTGAGAAGCTTGACTGTATTTTAGAAACCTAAGGCAGGGTAATGCTTAATCTAGGAAAAAATAGGTGTCAATATGGCAAATGCTTGAATTATTTTTTTCCCTAGAGTGTTACATAGCTCTAGTAGTCCTCTCCTTGAATTTTGATCCTAAATATTTCTCTATCTTTCTGACTCTTAGCCACCAAAAGCTTTGCAGCAATTAAAAGCAAAATAAAAGAGAGTGTGAAAACCCTGGTTTTGCATCTTTAGTTATCGGAAGACTTGTAGGAGTTCTACTTTGCTGTAATTTTTGCTGTAAATAAAAAAAAGTAGGTCTATGAAAGGCATTCAAAAGAAATGCTTTGCAATGCATGAATGCAACATCCTCTTCAAAGCTTTAAAGCTGCTGCATCCTTTGGTAGAGCTTATGTGGCTGCTTTGGGGGAAATGACAGATAAATGAAACAACTCTGCACACACACTCAACATAGGGACAGCCAGCAGCTTTCATTTACAAGAATAAAATTTGTGAAGCATCTCTCTGAAATGTATGACACAACCCTAATAATTTTAATAATAATCTACTTGCTGCTTCTTTCTGGATAGAAGGCTTATATCGTCTTTTGCCTTGGCCTCTTCCCACTTCTTTAGGTCTTCCTGATATACATCATAAATGCAGGGTTTGCAGCCACTGCCACAACACTGAGATGATAGTGGCTTTCTGGGCTTCAGAGACAGCCAGACTTCTTCACTCTGATCCATTACCTACAAAACACAATCCAACATTATTCCATTTAAAATTGCTGGATGGGGATGATTTCTCTCTTCTGCATCAGACATGGAAGTAGGTGTCATTAAGTGTAGAATAACTGCAGGGCATATGATGTATTGTGATGCAGTTAGGCAGCATTGGAATTTAAATTAGAAAAGGCCAGATTAAAAGCCACCTTTTTAATAAAGTTGACATTTTAGGCTCTATCCTATTCAGACCAGCTTTGAGGTGAAAAAAACTATAGAGTTGTATACTGTCTCAAGCCTCCTATTAAGAATATGAATAAATGTACTACATACAACAAACTACATATTGCCATGGATCAGAAGGTGGTATATCTCTGTTTCATCCTTTTGGGGGGCAAAGACTGGCATAAAAAAACCAGAATGTATAAAACAATAGCACTATAAAAAAACACTAATTTTGATTTTTATGGAGGTATAGAAATCTAACATTATTTTAATCATATTAAGTTAAGATATAAAACCGGAATTAAGAATAATCTAAAAACTAAGAATAAAATTGTATTGTTATTGATTTATTGATGAGAAGACACAATAATTGCCTTCAAATATCTCAAAGGCAGTAGAGGTCAGGGCAGAATTGTTCCAGGACACAGAACAAAAAAACAAGGAATTAAATTACAAGGAAGGGAAGGGATCAGGGAAAACATCTTAATGGCAAGAGTTATTTCACCATGGAAGAGACCGGCTTAGCTTTTACTTTGGGGGGGGGGGGTGTTAAACAAAAACAGGGTGCACATCTGTCAGGTATAGGTTGGCCCAATTTCGACATGACGGGTATTACTATGTGATTGAATCCTGGCTCTTTGTAATCTGTGCTATGAACACAATGCAAATGAAATAAGGGTGAATGTCACCTGCCACATTGAAGCTAGGACTGTTATTGCAGATTCCCTGATTTAGGTTGGAAGACCTTCATGTTGTCAATCTATTGGCTGTTCAGGGATCTTGTGAGGGGGTTCATGGCACTTGTCCTCCTCCACTCCCTCTCCAAAATCACCCTAAGATCCCTCCCAATATTGGCCAGCGCAATTAAAACGTTCAGAGGTTTGCTTAAGATGAATAGTAGGTAATCAAGCAAGCCTGTTTGGTGCCCACTCTTCCTCCAAAATAATGTGAGGCAACACCACACATATTTTGCACACCTTCAGAGGCTCTCAGCTAGTATTGGCATAAGGATGCTAATACAGCTAAGAACAATGGAAAGCTACCTCACTTGTTGGGGTGGGGGAGTAGCTGAAAGAAATACTGCAAAAAAGATGTTCAATCAGAACAGAGCTGGAAGGGACCCTGGAGGTCTTCTAGTCCAACCCCCTGCTCAAGCAGATCCTATACCAGTGTTTCCCAACCGTGGCAACTTGAAGGTGGCCATTGAGAGAGCCGAGGTGGCGCGGTGGTTAAATGCAGCACTGCAGGCTACTTCAGCTGACTGC